TTTTAATATATTGTCCAGAATTAGCAACAAACCAAGACCAGACTTAAAAAAAAAAATTTTCCAAAGGGATTTCTTTAATAAAGTTTAAGCTAAGTTTTTATTTTAAGCAAAAATGTATTTGAAATTCAGACAAAATGACAAAGGTACAAGAAGGTACTTACGTTGTTTTGTAAGAGAATGGTCTATGCATCCCATGAAACACTGAGAATTATGTAATCGAATCATAAACAGTAGTATAATATTAAACTTTGACATATAGTCATAGATTATATACTATATTTTAGGTTTATTGTAAAATATTCTAAATAATAATTAAAGTTAATGTTCTCTATGAGCAAAATGAATTGAATTTTTACTTGTGTAAAATGACTGTTGCACTCATAATGATAAGGAATTTTGGTACTGGATTCTGACGACTTGTCATTTAGCTTCTTGTCAGTATGAGAAAATATTCAGGCCTCCCATGTTATTCTTGAACAGATACAGTATGTACATTAAACAGACATTTAACAGTGTTTCTTACCCATAGAATTGGCATCTTACTGCAAAGCCTTGTAAATTACAGCTTCACAGATTTGATCTGAAATAAAAAAATATAATTTCACAAAATAGTGTAACCCAAACATGAGTCTGTTTTTACTCTGTTTAAGCGTCTGGACCATTTTTTTTAATTACATGTTTGTGTATTAAGTCTTGATTATACATATTACACTAGTAATTTTTGAAAAGAATGTCTGAATGTTGTGTATTTTTACCATATATATATTTTTTCTCGATGCATGCATCCTTTTATTTTGACAGACAATGGCTTATGCTTATCCCGCAGATCTCAAAATACGTAGATGAATAAACTATTGTAATTTCAAACTGTAAGATGTGTAAGCCATTGTATGTTCATGCAATTTAGATATGTATTTTATTTCCCTTTTTTTTTGTGTTCTCTCCAGAGTGTCTGTATCATCCCCATTGATTCTTTCAAAGCTCTGTATAAATGGACATTTTAAAGATATGAAGTGTTGTGTAATGCTTGAGCCAAGACTGATTTGAATTATGGCACGTACTCTTTCTTCGTGTAATTTTGCTTATCATGGCGACAGAAAGTGAATCCTGTGGTTTTTCAAACAGAATCCGATTCCTCACATCCATTAAGCCAAGGAGATCATGGAGAAAACTCAGACGAGGCAGTCCGGAAACGCTACGGAGATAAAGAGGTGCCTTTTTTTTGTACATTATCTTCCCACCACAAACAAATCATTTTCTTAAACATTATCTTTGTTGTTTTCCATGAACAACATGTAAACATCCTTAAAACAAGATTATTTTGTTTGTGAAGAAAAATTGATAGTATGACTTGTTTTCAAAGAGTATATTTTGAAATTAAGTAGAATTTTCTGCCCCACTGACAAATTGATTGAGGTTTGATCATAAAACAGTAAAAAGAAACTTTAAATAAAATGTTCTCTGAAAAAACAAAAAACAAAAACGTTATTCTACACAAATGTATCTTGTAAGGGTATATATTAAGGGCGATATTTTTACCTGGAAAATATGAGAAAAATAAATAAAGATTTTTTTTTTAAAGCTTTTATCTGTTTTGTCAATGTTAAATTCAGGGTTTTAAGAAGTTTAGGAATACATACTACTGTATATATATTGATAATGATGGATTTAAAGCATGCTTTATGGAGACCTGTTTTGCTGCTATACAATGTGGTAAATCTGTAATAGGCATAAACCCTTCTCAATGTGAATTAAATGCCTGTTTCTGTTTAAAGAAAATTCTGGAAGAGCAGAGACGGTTAAAGCGAGAGCAGGAAGAGGCAGACACAGCTGCTCGGAGACATGCTGGGCTGGTTGTGACTCACCAACAGTTCATTACTAATGACCGCTTCGGTGACCTGCTGGTTATTAATGAGAAAGAGAAGAGAAAAACCATAGAGGTGACATATCTTCTATTTTATCCTTTAAAGGATCTTGTTTGATGCTTCCTGCCTTTTTGTGTGACAGAGAGTTGCTGTGATATATAGTAATGGATGCAGTAATGTGAAATAATGCTAATGGTCTCTTATTGTCTACAGAGGATTCCTGCTCTGGCACGATTTGACTTCAGAGCAGAAAGTTTAAAGTAAGTGTCTAACAATTCAGATCAATGGATGTTAATAAGATCATAAAGTGTTTGTTAATAACAGCATGTCAAATTTAGAATACTACATCACAAACCTAACCACATATTGCTTCCCCTTTATCAGGGAACTACCATTTCAAAAGGGAGATATTGTATACATCTACCGGCAGGTTGATCAGAACTGGTTTGAGGGAGAGCATCATGGGAGAGTTGGGATTTTTCCACACAGCTACGTTGAGGTACATTTTCTTTATGCTTTAGTATTATATTTTTTATTTTTTAGTCATAGAGTTTTCAAGTGTGCAGTAACCTCTCTTTTGTTATGCTGTTTCTCCAGCTCTTGCCCCCTACAGAAAAGGCTCAGCCCAAAAAGAGTGCTCCGGTCCAGGTGTTGGAATATGGAGAGGCTATTGCTCGGTTCAATTTCACTGGTGACACTGCTGTTGAAATGTCTTTCAGAAAGGTATTGTTTAATTAATTTAATGAAGCTTACGCTTTAGTCTAGGGGTCGGCAACCTTAACCACACATACTGTACCACTACTGATATCGAGTGAGAAGAGCTAGAGAGATTAGTATTATATGTATACGTTTTATTTAGTTGCTTTGTTTAGAAAACTACCTCGTGGAGTAATCCTTCAACGTCATATATTCTATTATTATTTACTATTATTTACTTATGAGCGGAATGTGAAGCCAAACACACTTAAAGTGTGATGAAACAAGCTGAGCAGAAATGTTTTATGTAAGAGGAAAATTAAAAATAAATATAGATCATTTAAATTTTTTCCAAAAACGTATTATTTTTTACACTGAAAATTAAGCCAAACATTCACAACAGATTTGTCACCAGCCAGCTGAATAAAATCTAAGCAATTCAGCAACAAGTTGATATGACTATATTTGTTGCTGCAACAACTATATATGAATGTTGAGTCACACATCTAGACATACAGCAGACTTTTCAGACTTTATTACAGGTAAATTTGTCAGAAAATGACTACTGAAATGCCAAAGAACACACTGCACTCACACCATTTCAAGTGTGTGTGTGTGTGTGTGTTAATTGATGATGGTTTATATACATATACTCTACCGTTCAGAAGTTTGGGGTTGGTAAGATTTTTTAAAATGTTTTTGAAAGAAGTGCTTAAGAAAAATGTCTTATTATTATCAATGTTGTAAACAGTTGT